TATGAGATGGATTGATTCGGTGACTGGGGTAATCGGGATGGGTGTGTCAGAGGCAGTGCAGTTGGTGAGGGATAGAGCAGGGTTTAGGGCTGTTGTGCATAGGGTCACTATGAGTCGCAAACGACTCGACGACACATAACAACAACAACAACAACAACAATTATTAATAAATGTTACAGCTATTATTTTCCCACACAGTTTCTATTTATTTACATTAAATCTGCTTTTATCATTAATATCTTAAGCATGTTGTGTTTATGTGCCATGGAGTCACCGTTGATTCATAGCAACCCATGGATAGTAGCTCTGAACTCTGCCCTAGTCTGAGCCAGTCTGACTGACTCCAGCACACTTACCCCTGTTATTCCAGTTACAGAGTCAATCTATCTCATGTGAGGTCTTCCTTTCCTGCACCGTCACTCCACCCTTCCAATGATTTCTTTCTCCAAGGACTTGTACTCAAACTATATGAGACAGAGCTTGCCTCCAAGGAGAAATTTGCTTTCATCCTCTCCAAGACAAAGCTATTTGTTCTCTTGGTAGACCATGGTATGTGAAATTCTCTTCTCCAGCACAACTCAAAAGCATCAATTATTCTCCTATCATCCTTTGTCATTGTGCGGCTCTCTGATGCATGGCAAGTAATTGTGAATTTTCCAGTTTTTATTCATTTCATTCAGTTCTAGGTTGTTTTGAAAATCAAGAAGCTTAGTTAATTTATGTATCTTGTTATGATATCTTTGGATAATATCAGAAAAATAATATCTTTGATGGTGCATTTATTTGTTGGCTTATCACTTACTTGAAATCTTAATTCTAATGCCATTATATTTGGCTTATCTAAATGTTCATATGTATTTTCAAAGAAATACATTAATAAAGCATTTTCTATGTTTTTTATAGAGCTAGGAACATTGCTACTTTGCTTTCTCACATATTTTAATTATTTTTTTTTGTCCAGAAGTATGGATGAGCCTAAAATACCTAAAATAACTGTTTAGCATTCAAACTTCTTGTGTTCTGGATGTAAAGTCTGATGTCCATTATTTGCGAAAACCTGCTAAAGAAATAATGAAGTTAGAGAAAGTATATCAATTTAAATCACATTAAATTTAAGATGTGTGCAGAGATAATTTTTCAGAAGACATGTTGTTATTCACTAACATTCATAAGACAAACAAGATCAAGGTCAAAACTTTGCATTCTCTAAACAACAAAATTGAAGACAAGACCAAGTTCAATTAAAGTTTATCAGAGTTAAGTTTAAAAAAAAAAAGTTTTTCAGAGTGAACTGTTAAAAGTTTTCACTTAAATTTTTGAGAATTAAATTCTGTGTCTAAAGTTAGCAACAACAATTATTTTAGCATAAATGATCACATTTTACAGATAACATGCTTATGTAAATGGCACACATATACATATTAATAGGAGGCTGTGGTAGCCTAATGGCAAGAAGCTGTGCTGCAGTCTCATAAACACTCATTTCGAGGCCACCAGCTGTTTCCCAGGAGAAGGATGAGTAATCTCATCCTGTGGGATTAACTGCTTCTGAAAACCCACAAAAGGGTCAGCTGTGGCTTTGTTCTGACTTGACCAACAACATACATAATAAGTAAAATTTGTTTCATCTTTAAGAAAGAAAGGGAAACCATGGACTGTAGATCTGACAAGAAGCAGATTCTATAATGAAACAGTTCTGCTCTTGCCCTGACTTTCTTTGTGACTGTTGTTCTATTTTATGGGCTAGCCTTTTTTCACAATGAGAATGGTAAAGTCAAAGGGCTACATCATTACTGGTTAATAACAATAATTTATTTAGTACCATTTTAGTTTATGGTTTTAGGCCTGTCTCAAATTTAAGAAGCAATAGCCAATCATATTGCCCACATTTTCTTTAATCACAACTTAAGAGTACTGTTGAGAAAGTCTGCAGCATTAAAGAGTAGCAGTTTATCTATTCATGTTTACGTTATTTCCCTTGAGATTATGTTTTCACAATTATCAGGTAAACCGCCTGATTCAAGAATAATAATTATTAACACACCATCCTAATGTCTACATTTCTTTATATTTCTTTTATTTGGAGATAAGATATTAGGAGAATATAGAATAAAATAAAGAATAAAATGTAAGTAGCTAAGATTCACATAAAGGGGAAGATTGCTAGAATGAAATGGTGGATGTTCTAGTGGGAAGGATATTCTAGTTTTGAAATTTGATTCACAAACTCTGAAGTACAGATAGGATGATTTCAGGTAAGTTCTCCATTCAATCTCACTAGAAACATCTTTGAAAGGAGATCTCGGAGCTATGGTAGCCTAGTGGTAAGAAGATACACCACAATCTCAAAGGCATGTGGTTCAAATCCACCAGATACTCCACAGGAGAAGGATGGGGAATATTCTTCCATGCGAGTAACTGTCTCTGAAAATATGCTGGAGTGTCAGGTACAAGTTGGTTTCGACTCTACAGAGCATGATGACAACAACAACACAGTCCTATGTCAGGGTGCAGTAGAGTTAACTCCGAATAAGAGAGATCCTACTGCTCACCATAGAACAACAGCTTGCCCTAACTTGCATCATTCTCGTAGTTTCTGCTACTGTTAAGTCAATTGTCTCAATCATTGTGTTGATTCATCTCATTGAGGGTATTGTATTTCTCTCCTTCACTGACTCATCACTTGTCCAACCATAATGTTCTTTTACAGGGGTAGCCCCTTCTGACAATATATCCAAATTAATGTGAGAGGAAAAAATCTCACCATTCTCATCTCTAAGTAGTCCTCTGGCTATATTTATTCCAAAACCACTTCTTCTGTTCTTTTGGCTGTGAATGATGTGTTCAATAACTCTTCACCAACACCACAATCCCAAAACATCAATTCTTCTTAGTCATAGAGTTTGGATTAAAGGCAAAAATATATAAAATAAATCTGTATTTGCCTAGGTATAGACTTTCTCTGGTTCTCCTGATGTTGTATCTGCTCTTTCTTTTAGTTACCATATGACTCTTCCATGGGAATTGCTCATAGTGTATATGTCGTTGTGGTTGTGGTTGTTATTGTGGTTGATGTTGTTGTTAGGAGCTGTCAAGTATGACTCATAGTGACCCTATGAACAAAAGATCTGAACCCTGTTCTATCCTGCACCATCCTCACACTTTCTGACACACAAGAGCCCATTGCAGCAATCACCATGTCAATCCACCTGGTTGAAGGTCTTACTCTTCTTTGCAGACCCTCTACCCTTCCCAGTATCATGTCCTTTACCAAGGAATAACACCTTTTAGCAACATGTCCAAAGTATGTGCCTCCAAAGAGCACTCCAGCTGCACCCTCTCCAAGACACAGCTGTTTGTTCTCTTGGCTGGTCCATGGGATGTTCAGTGCTCTTCTCCAACACCACAGCTCAAAGGCATCAATTCTTTTCCTGTTATTCGTATTCATTTTCAGGTGAACAGTAAATAATCAGATACATAACAAGTAATCATAAAGACTATGGGCCTGAATCAGACACACCTTAGTCCTCAAACTGGCATAGCTACCCCTCAATAATTTGGAAAGGTCCCTATCTGCAGATTTTCCCAGTGCAATGCAATTCCTTATTACCTGACTGCTAGTATCATGGGTGTTAATTACAGATGCAATATGTCTCTTTATTACCATATCATAGATTTAAATTTAAGAAAAAGGAGAAGGGTGGAAATTTTTCAGAGTTTAGTGGGTGGATACGAGTGGGGGCATATGAATGAATAGAAAGATTCAATGGGGACTTGAAAAGACAAAATAATAATAGGAATGTTGTTGTTGTTAAGTGCCGTCGAGTCACAGGCGACTCATAGCGACCCTAATAATAGGAATAGATTAATAATAATTATCTAAAAACAATGTACATGAATGATTGTCTGAAGCACAATATAAATGAAAGACTGTATAAAATATACATGAAAGAAAAAGACAATTAGAAAAATGTAATTGTAAATCCATATAGTTAGATGCATGAGTTATAAAGATTTAATTTATCATGACAGGAATATAAAACAAGGATAAGAACAATTTTTAAAAATCTTAATAAAAAAGAAATACTATCATGGATATGTCAGAGAAATTTTTCCCTATACAGATGTAGCGAACACTCAACAATTAATCACTTGATTAACAATTAAGTGAAGTTGGGCTAGAGTACTAGTACCATTGAGTCTCTAATGTATTTGTAGCACTCCCTGTATTCATATTTATGTGTTCTTATTTTAAGTGATGGAGAATGTTACAAACAACTCAATTACTATTTAGTAGTTCATTATTTAAATTCTAAAGCATCCATATTCTGTTTACTAACTGATAGGAATACATGAAGACTCCTAAAATTCATTCAAGAGTCTTAACAAAACTGACATAAACCAAGCTATTGTTTATTTTTCTAAAAGCCAGTAGACCTTGAAATAAAATTTTAACTGATTAAGGATTGAAGACTCAAAGGACTCAAGTGTAGGTATAAGAGAGAGTTCATCATAGCTCTCACTCACATTGTATCACTTACCTCCTAGATGGTAGAGAAAAAATAAGTACAGCAAAAAATATCTTGAGTACACTCAGCATTATAGCTATATCTCGCATCCAATTACTATACAATGGGTACATTTCCTCTGGAAAAGAGAATCAAACAGATGTAAAAATTAACAAACCAGTTGTGTAACTGTCTATTTAATAAAGGACATATGAGTGTAGAGAAAATAACATCTGTCTTCTAGCCTTTATATTCTTGTTTCAGCCTAGTTTCAATTAGCAACTCTGGGCTATGTGACAGGGTTAAAGTCTTGTTAATGTACTTGAGTCTGAAGGTGAAAGCAATTTGCAGAGAGTCATGAATATAAGCTATGAGCATTCATCTTTACCCACTTTTCCAGAAATAAAAGAGTACACACTCTAATTTACTTTCTTGCTGTTACTGTTAAACCCTGGAACAAATTTCATTTACTTTCATTTCTTTGTTTTACAGCATATAGAAATGAACCGATCTGAAAGTGTCACATGATCTAAAATTTCACCTGGTCAGGTGAAAACCTAGAATTGTCTTTATTTTTTTTTCTCTTCACTGTTGAAAAAAACCCCATGGATAACATATTTGCCAATTCAGCACATGTCAGTCTTCCAATGAAACCAATTACGCTAGTCTTAGCAACCATCCAAATATTGAGGAGTAATGAAGTCAGTAATGATGTCAAAGCTCTAAGGTCTAAGGTGACCCTACTTCAGGCCATGGTCTTTTCAGTCATTTGCTACATATCTAAGAGCCAGACAATATGACTACGGATTGTAGTTTTGGAAAAGAGTGCCAAAGATCCCATGTTGTTGTTGTTGTTATGTGCCGTCGAGTCGTTTCTGACTCATAGCGACCCTATGCACAACAGCCCTAAACCCTGCTCTATCCTGCGCCAACTCAACCGCACCGCCTCTGACACACCCATCCCGATTACCCCAGTCACCGAATCAATCCATCTCATAGAGGGTCTTCCCCTCCTACGTTGTCCCTCAACCCTCCCAAGCATGATGTCCCTCTCCAAAGACCCGTCCCTCCAAGATCCCATAGACAACCAAAATTACAATAAAATAAAGTGTAGCCGAAGTGTTCTTTGGAGGCAAAGATGATGATACTTTGGGCATGTTGCTAGGAGAAGTTAGTCTTTGGAGAGGGACATTATGCTTGGGAAGGTGGAAGGGTGGTGAAAAAGAGAAAAACCCTTGACCAGGTGGGTTGACACAGGGACTGCAGGTGGTAGGCTTGAGTATGTCAGAGATTGTGAGAATGGCATCTGATAGGACAGTGTTCAGATCAGTTGTGCATAGTGTCTACTATAAATTATATTTGCCTCAACAGCACTTAATAACAGCAACAGCATGCAACCAACACCAGAATCTGGTGTTATAGGCATTATTTCCTTCCACCCCAAACAAAAACCTAAGGCTTGCTAGAAAAAAATTTCTTTTTCCTTTTCCTGCAGTACCAGATAGCTAATGTTAAACTCTGATCTCTACTCATTTGCCTACTTAAATATTTCCTATTATGTATGATGTACTGTATTTGTTATTTTGTGATTGTTTCTTTGATTCAGCATAAGTATTCAAATGCATCAGGATTTCATTTTTCTTTATGTTAGAGTGATTTCTCATTGTACACCTATTTTACATTTGAGTTGTTTACAATTTTGACTACGGTAAATAATGCTGCCATTAACACTGGTTTACATCTGTCTGTTTATCTTGTTGCTCTGTAGGATTTTATAGCAAAGAATAGCATTACTGGATTTAAGGTGTATGTACCTAAAAGTAAGATTGCTAGATTTTTTTTTTACTTTTTTAAGCACTTCAAACTGTTTTCCATAATGATGTGCAGTTTGACATTTTTAGATGTGGTGGATGAAGGTTCTGATTCCTTCAAATTCTACTCAACATTTTTCCTTTTCCTTCGTATTCATACTAAGGGAGTGGTTCTTCCTTAGAGTTTTGAGTTGTGTCTCCCTAATCTACTAGGTATGAAGCAGTGCTGCTAACTCAAAGGCAGGCAGATCAAATCTACCACTTCTCTGAAAAAAGACGGGCAATCTACACCAATCTGATTTATAGCCCTGAAATCCCACTGGAGAGTCAACTAGGCGTCAGTTCTGACTCAATGGTACATAACAACAACACTAGCAAACAGAGAGCTCTGATAGCCTAGTGGGCAAGGAGTTATGCTGCTAACCCAAATGCAACTGTCAAAATCCACAACAGGTAATCACCTCCTGTCTTCAACAGCTAGTTACTACCACCACTTTTAGGTTGATTTGTCACACTTTTATGGTTTCCATTTTTCTGTGATGCTGAAAAGATATGCCGATGACTTTCAAGTACAAGCATTGTACTAAAAATAAATTGGTTTGTTGGTTCAATAGTTTCAGAAAGTAACATATGAGCAAGACTAAATAATATACTGAAAAAAACTTCAAGCTTCACTGAAAAGTACTGGGGGAGGGGGAAGCCAAGAAATTGAAGGAATACCAATTGAGATGGTTCAACAAACAGATAAAATGCCGGAAAGCTTCACTTGCCTATGTCAGAAAATTCAAAGATAGCAATCTGGAAACTGACTGGAAAAGAGCTCTATATACGCCCACGCCAAAGATAGGTAGAAACACACCAGGATGTACAAATTTTAAAGAATTATCACTAACATCACATGTTGTTATTGTTTTTATGAGTCACTGGGTCAACTACAACTAACAGCCACCTTGTGAACAATGGTTTTGAACCTTGCCCAATCTAGTGCCATCCTCACCATTTCTGACACACTGGAACCCATTTGTTACACTGTGTCAATAAATTTTATTGAGGGTATTCTTCCCCTTTGTTGATCATGTACTTTTATAAACATGATGTCCTTCTACAAGGAATGGTCCATCCTTAGAACCAAAGTCTGTGAGACAGAGTTTCACCATCCGTATCTCCAAGGACCACAGTGGTTTCACTCTCTCCAGAACTGAACTATTTGTTCTCTTTGCAGTCTATGGGACAGTCAACACTCTTCTCCATACTACAACTCAAAGGCATCTATTTTTCTGAATACCTTAGTCATTATTCAGCATCAAGATGTACAGCAAGTAATTGAAAAGACTATGCCTTGGATCAGACGTACCTTTGTCTTTAAACTGACATTGTTGCTCGTTTGTACTCTGGAGAGATCCTTGACAGCAGATTACCCCACTGAAACTTGTCTTTTGATTTCTTGACTGCTGGAATCACAGGTGTTGATAGTGGATACAAATAAGATGAAATCGTTGACAATTTCAGTCTTTTCTCCATCTGTTGTGATATTGCCTTTTGCCCCTGTGGCGAGGGTCTTTGTTTTCTTGATGTTGAGCTGCATATTGAAGGTTGTAGTCCTTGATCTTCTAGAGCAAGCACTTCAAGTTCCCCTCCCTCCATCAAGGTCATGTCATCTGCATAATGCAGGTTGTTGCTATGTCTTCCTCCAATCTCAATGGCACCTTTTTCTTCATAAAGTTCAGCTTCTCCAACATGTTCAGCATATAGATTGGACAGGAATGGAGAAAGGATATATGTCTGATACACAGCTTTCTTCTCTTACTGTTTGGACAACAGCTTCTTAGTCTAGGTATAGGTTTTGCATGGACACAATTAAGTGTTCTGGGATTCCCATTCTTTTCAATATTAGTCACAATTTGTTGTGATCCACACACAGTCAAATGCTTTTCATAATCAATGAAACACAGATAGACATCTTTATGGTATTCTTTGCTTTCAGCCAAGATCCGCCTGATATCAGCAATGATATCTTTGTGCTATGATCTTTCCTGACTCCATCTTGAATTCATGGAAGTTCTGTTGCAATATACTGTTCTATTCATTTTTTAAGAGTCTAATGATATTATTCAATAATTTCTACATTCTGTTGGATCACCTTTTTCAGGAATAGCAATAAATATGGATCTATTTCAGTCAATTGACCAGGCTGCTGTCCTCCAGAATTCTTTACACAACCTTGTGAGAATATCCAGGACTGTGACTGTTTGTTGGAATATATCAATTGGTATTTCATAAATTTCTGAGGCTTTGTTTTTTTTGCCAATACATTCAGTACAGCTTGAATTTCTTCCTTTAGTACCATTGGTTCTTGATAATATTCTACATCCTGAAATGTGAAAATTGCTGTTAGCTGCCTTCAAGTCAACTATAACTTATAAAGACCATGGGAAAACCAAATTGAAACCTTGCCTTATTATGTGCCATCTTCCCAAATTCTACCATTCTCAAGCCCATTGATGCAGTCACTGGCCAATCCATCTTAGTGAAAATCTTCTTTCATTTATCCTGTACCTTTTCTAGCACAATATCTTTTTTGGAAGTCTTAGCAATAGCAATAAGACAAGAGAAGGGAATAAAAGGTATCCAAATAGGCAACGAGGAGGTAAAATTATCCCTCTATGCTGATG